TCGTCCAGCTAGTGCTGAGATTAAGAATGCGTGGAGCTTTAACCTCATGTCTTCATCACAAGGTAGTTAGGCGCATAGACAAGTTAATTTAATACATTTCAAAACGGTCATATCTATTCCCCACAACCACCATTTTCCTAGCTGATATGGGGCCGCTGTCTGGGAAAATTGTTCAGTAAATTACAATGACGGAGAAGTTCTTGGAGGTAGGCCTAGGCCCACTGGGGCTGTAGTGCCAAGGAAAAAAAATTACAATGAATGAACAAGTATCTGGTTTTAAGGGTTGCTGACGTCAAGATAGTTGATCGGCTGATCTGTATAAATACATTACATGCAGCACAGCAGTATATCACCTCACCGTAATCTGTGAGCAGGTTGTCTAGAAAATGTTGGAGCCTTGACGTCATTACGATGCCAAAATTCTAACTGGCGACACAGAGTAGACAGAAGGTCACGAATCCTTTTGCGAGGAAGATAGACATGCAAAGGGCCTGGCTAATTTTAGCCAAATATGGAGAATGCACGTGCCCCGAAGAGCATCTGCTGTCCTTGCCGTCCTTAAAGTTTGATAGCGAGTTCGAACCTTATGGAAAACTGACGGCTCGAATCGCCAGCGTGACAGTTGGTGCAAATTTCACATCATCTAATTTCACGGCTGACTGGCTGTCTTCAGCGTGAAGAATCTTTCTCGAAAAGCTGGCCAAGGAATCCTTCATGGAACCCGAAAATTTACTATAGTGTTCATGAGCCCCCACCCCTTTACAGATGTCGATCCAAGCTAAATCCTTTTCAATTTCCAACTCGCAATCACAGTACCATTCGGTTTTCTAGAACCCATGTATCTGGAAAGGAGCTATACGAATGTCGGGAGGATCTTAAAAATAGGCTACGACCGCCTCCCACCAAGTTCTTATTTACTTACTTATCACTCTAATTTTATCCTCTCATTCGAAGATGAATAGGAGTAACCGATTCTGATGACAGCGCTGTTAAGTAAATAAAAACAAATCTGTGTAAGATTTGAGGCTTTCACGGCGGTGACTATGAAGAAAGCAGTCTTCTGGGATTTGGCACCATGTATATGTGGTGTTAACCGACGTTTCGGAGGAACGTATCGCCTCTATCTTCAGGGTAGAAGGAAAAATATAAGAAATCCGCAAGCAAAAGCAGTAATTTTTCCAGATATAGGAAAGTACGTAATAGAAAACTCTTGACACCGAATAGAAGCGGATTTTCTGGGCTAGGTTGGTGCTCCAGATCAGTTTTAGGCCCCTGATAATGACCAACACGCATTATATGAATAAGATGATTACCGCGAAGGCTCGGAAAGACCGAGCTACGTGTATCGTTTTTCGGGGCTTATAGTTATGGGTCATGAGGCAACGGGAGTAGCTTCTTGGTGAAACAGATTGCTTTGGAACTTATTATTATTATTATTATTATTATTATTATTATTAGAGGGGGTGGGTTTCCCCATGCACTTAGACCAGTTATTGGTCCATTTGCGTCCCCCTTTAATTTACATTTACGTGCCGTAAATCTACGACAAGGGGACCCGCGGCTTAAAGTCCCCCCCCCGGAGGATTGTTCCCTGAATTTTTCCGCCCTTAAAAATTCCACGACCTCCGCCGGGTTTGAACCCGTGTACCTTGAGTCATGAGGTGGGAACGTTACCCCTAGACTACGGATACCGCTTTTGCTTTGGAACTTGGTACACGGGATTTAACTGAACCAACCCCCAGTTTCGGTAACATAGGTCACAATAGCATTATCGTCTATCGTGAAGTAACACCGTGAAGCAAATGACCATTGTTAGGCAAAGGCTTTGTAAACACAGTCCCTGAGTTACGCTCTTGACAATAGAAGCATATTCTTTGCTAGGCGGCGAGCCAATCAAAACAAATTCTTGGAAACAGGAAAAAGCTATTTCCGTGGGGTCCGTGCCGAAGAATTATAAGAGAGTCGAATTCCGAGGCTGGCACCTGTAGGAGTACAGAGGAGTACAACTGAGTCAGTCGAAGAGCGAGAACGAGATTGGGATGAGTCCTCGGCAGTTCAGGGTTCGGCTGAAAGGTTATTGTGAGTTGTTGTAAATTGATTGTAATTAAGGGTAATTGTAAAAAAAAGTGTTAATATATCCAGTCATGCAATCCAGAACACGTTATTGTTAGTCACGGAGCCATAAATTCGTGACAATATTACAGATATCAACATAAGCTACTTTTCTATCACAGGCTCCTGCATTAGGCCATGGAAGAAATTTCCCTGATGTACATTCACGAAAAATGAACGAATTAAATACATGACCGATTAAATCTGGATCCCGATTTTAAAGATCAATCGTTCACTTTGACTGAACAAGTGAAGCAAGAACAGCGTTGGGTTTAAAATTCACAGGATCATACGCAGTAGGCGGTCTGTTTAGTTAAATGGAGCATGGAATACAGAACTCACATCAAAAGTGTGATTTTCTAGCTTTGGGTTTGGGCCTCCTGGTCACTGTCCTCTTGTTACGGGTGTTTTATCTTTGCCTGTACGGTAGAGATTAAAGGCCAGTGACGTTTCAACCCTCGGCTGCATGCAGCCGAAGCGCAATTTTTGTCACAGTCTGCTGTGTGATTTTGAACAATGAAAATACATACTTACCGCCTTAAATATTTAAATTTGTTTAAAAAATAACAAGTAAATAATTTGTCAAAGACAAGTGAAAACAGGAACATTTGTTTCGCAAAGAGCAGTAAATTACCGTATTTACGCATGTATAGGCCGCACATTTTTTGCCAAAAATTCAAGAGGAAAACTGAGGTACGGCTTATATTCGAAATATTCGAAATCACACTTCATTTAAAAAAAATTATATTCATAATTAGTAATACAGGGTGTTCTACTCCTGAAATAATATTCCAAGAAAATTATTTTTTCTATAATTTCTGTCTGAAAATTGTGCTGCGGCCTATACACGCACGCGGCATATACATGCGTAAATACGGTATGTAAGATTTGAGGTTTACTCTGCAGTATTCACATTAGCCTGTCAGCACCTGCTCACGCTGGTTCCTCTCTTGCGGATTTTCTTCTTTTTTCTTATACCCTGAAGATGGAGGCGATACGTTACTCTGAAACGTTTTTAACCCAATATCTACACAGCTCCACATCCCAGAAGACTGCTTTCTTCAAGTAGTAAGTTATTTAGCGTATTTCTTTTATAAATTTCTATGAAGTTTCAGTAAATTCTCATTTATAAATTGGNGCCCCAAAAAAAAAAAAAAAAAAAAAAAAAAAAAAAAGGCCGAATATTGAGAAACCACTGCTACCCAGTTTCTCTGACAGTTCAGTTTTTCTGGTTATTTCACTAGCCAGTGAGTCATTTACTGCGTTCGCTCATTGTCCGGTCTTGTTCTCCAGTCAGCGGACCTTTTACAGTCTTTGTTCACTGAACGGTAAATTTCAGTAGCCTTCGGTCATCAGTAGATTAGATTCGTCGTCAACGTTTAGAATTCAGGTTTCTCTCTCTCTCTCTCTCTCTCTAGCATTCGCTCAGTTGCTGACCGCGTCGACTTAAATTAGGTAAGGATTGTATTACATTGATAATTTATCTACGTTATTTATTTTATAAAAATTGTGCATTTTGAATGATTTCTTCTTCATACACGATACACTGCATATTTGAATTTTTTTTTCCTTGGCACTACAGCCCCAGTGGGCCTAGGAATACCTCCATGAACATCTCCGTTCACTTCGGTTTTCTAGATCTTGCACATTCGGTAGGACTCCTTGGGCGGGTGATCAGCTCGTCGCAAGGCCTCTACCTATAAACAAACACAGAAAAACGCACACACACACGAACTAAACATCAATGCCCTGAGTGAGATTCGAACCCACGATCCAGGTTTCCAAGCGAGCGAAGACAGTACATGCCTTAGACCGCTTGGCTACCGTGACCGGCTGCATATTTGAAATACTCTTTATTTAATATTTAAAATTTTTAATTTCTGTAGGCTCACCATGCTGAAGGAAGTGACACATGGCACAACTCTGCACGGGAACCTGGCAGGCTACTTCGGTACTACTCGTATGCAGTTGCTACTGTACATCATTTCATAATCATAAAGTTTCTTTCATGTTAGATTGCCAGCGTTATCGATATCTTCAAGATGTCTTCCTTTCTCAAAACACTTGAAAGATAACGCTCCCCCCTTCATGTAGCTTTTTCCTTGGAGAAGGAAAAATGGAAAATAGTCTACGCGTTTCTAATGTAATGCGTCCGTTGCAATTTTTCATACCTCGTTTTTACTGATATGCTTTTAACGTACGTACAAATTTATTGCTGATAACAATATGGTATAGAGTTATCAGATATCATCCCTACATCACGTCGAAAACATTTAAAATAAAGGTTTCAGACTGGCCGGCCGGAGTTTGATTCCCGGCAGGAGTAAGAAATTCTTCTCTTCTCCACAGTGTCCAGACCGGCTCTGGGGCCCATCTAGCCTCCTATCCATTGGTTACCGGGGACTCTTTCCCAGGGATAAAGCGGCCGGGGCGTGAAGCTGACCACTCATCTACATCTAGCGCTGAGTTCAAGAATGGTGGACCTATACCTCCATTCCCTCATGTCTTCACGGCGTTGGGCTTAATTAATTAAGCACAGGGACAACGTTGTTCTTATGTGTACTTAGTGCAACAAACGCATAAAAATGAGAGGATATTGCATAAAGCTCAGCACTGCCCTTTCCATGTTTTAAAACTTATTTTTGTGTATTTAGAAAGCTTGGTAGTTATTCTATTCCTGCGCTTCTGACCACACTTCGTTCCACTGAATATGCGCTTCTGCTGACACTCACGCACAAAGTTTAAATACCCCTGGCTGACTGAAATATATCGAACCAGAGTTGAAGAACCCATGGTACCGAATCCAACCACCAACGCCCCCATGCGGTCAGATTTCGTAACAATAGCTGACGTCATCCTCTATATAGCGGCCAATCCGATGCAGGTCAAGCCCGCGGCATATCTGTAGTAACTGCTGTATTGTGTTGAGGTGTGTGCTTGTGGAAGAAACATGGACCGTAGTACAACGCCAAACAGGAATGCTAGTAGAAATATACCACGTGACAAGCCAGCACTCACATTAGTTTAAATTCCTGCGGCAACAGGTATTCAGCGGCAGGCGCTTCGCTGTGTAGTGTACAATATGGACCAAGATTGTTATGAATGATCTAAAATATCTGAATAAAATCGGTGTGTGGGAGAGCGTGTGCGTTGTAACTTTACCGTGCATCGGCAGGTGTGGTGTTGTGGTTTTGAATTCCCACAGAAAACAGTTTTTGCAGTCTACAGTTTCTAAAACTGAAGTTTAGAAATATTACCATCACAGTGATTTTGTGAACTGTGTTACTCCTGGTGTCGACTGACCGTTCGATGACCTCTTGGTGCCCGCTCTTCTACGGTAAGGTAAGTCTACCATTTTTGGCCCAGATTTTCCGTTCCACAGTTATACATAGTAATTCCCACTAGTTCTGAGTTTGACGCAACTCTTCCGTACCGGAAATGTTGCAAAACGCAGAAGTTCCGGAGTACTATGTATTTTGATTGGGTATGTAGGATTTTAGGTTCTTGCAATTGTTATGAATAGTTTTATATTCTGAGACACAACGCCGTGTAGTCCGTTTTGGCGTTTCGAAAGAACATGCAGCCTCTATCTTCAGAGTAAGCCAAGCTGTAACTCAGCATGAAGTAAGTAGCTCTTTGCTTCGCATATTATTCAGCCCGTAAGATGGAAGTGATACGTTTCTCCGAAACTTCGATCGACTTTCAACTGACTACGAGGCGCTGTATGCAGAAGGTAGAACTTCGTGTTCACGATTGAGGAAACACTTAAGTTTTGAAACAATTAAGGTTTCCTTGTTATTTTTTTATACTTCTTCAGACATATTACTTAAATGTTGCATATATAAACCTGTTTTAGGCGACGGCAATTCATACGAGACATCACACACACAACCATACAAAAACATAAATTTTTCTAAATACAAACCACTCCGTCCAATGTGACATATAAGTTTTTACTACGTTAAAACTTATCTCCCATACATGTTACGGTCCTTATGGGCCATCTTCAGAGGGAACATCATTACAAACGGGAAACTACCATCACAATAGGTGTTTTGATTTAAAATACATACATTTCTATCCTATAATGCACAGTACGCATAAAGTCGAACGTTTCACAATCACAGCAGCTTCCTGGTGTTGTAAAGTTTTTAAAAGTTTCTAGATGTTATTTAAAAAACCTTTAGTGTCAATAGTTACAATTTTTTTTTAAACCACGTAGGTTCGTGTCCGTACTCCTATCGTCTTTCTTGTATGGGGCAGATTTTGTGCCGCCTGTCTATCTTGATGAGGAGGTTCTTGATGTCGTCCAGGGTTTGCTCGTGGCTTGCTGAACGCAACGCAATTCTTAGTGTGACGGACCAGAATGAAACAAATCAAGTAAATTTTTCTATGTATTCATTTGAATATTTATCTTATCAGAGATGTTTAAAATTATTTTTTTGAGATGTAGGCTTTCATTTTGCATCATTTACGAATTAGGATGCACCGATTTTGAGCAATTTTATAAAGTTATATTTGGGACTTCTCACACATTACGAGTGCTCGCCAAAAATTAATTCACCTGACAACTTAGAGCGTGTTGCCCCTCAACACAAAAATTCGTCAAAGGCCGCCTCGTAATTTTGGAACTCGAACTTGTGGCCAGGGGGAAGGGCAGTCGCAATCTGACCACGATTAGTTAATTTTACTCACTTTTTGCAAAAATAACGCATAAAAAGCTTCTGAAATTAATTGTGATCTTTTTAAATCGAATTAGGGAAAAAATAATGTTATGAAATGTGCTCCACAATCTGATTGCGTAACCAAGTGCTGCACAGGAGGGCTGCGTTATGTAGGGGGGGGACCAGTTCCCCTAATTGCTTCTTGAAAAAGTGACTGGAAGTTTTTAAGGAGGGGCTATATCTTGTTTAACACAGATGCTGGCTCAGCGACAGAAGTTATAACGTGCAGTAGAGTGGAACGATTGTTATGAATCGTATTTAAGCATTTGGACTATATTCTCTGACCTGCCTCGTATTCAGGAAGTCTCAGATTGAGAAATTGCGCCGCTGTTAAGTAAGGCAAATTATGGAAGAAGACGGCTGTGGCGTTTCTGACGTTACAATTCCGGTATTTGCCTGGAGTGACTAAAGAAGATCATGAAGACAGTCGGTTGCACGACTGCGATTCTTGCCGGGTACTGCCCGAGCTTGCTCCGTCAGGCTGTTCAGTGTGTGCGTACGTACGGTACGTACACTGCACATAGAGCCACATGGGTCAGTCAGTACCTGGGTACAAGGGCCGCAGTAACTGTAGGAAGTAAGTAGATTCCCGTCAAATGCCACGGCTGCGATGACTGTTTTCAGAAGTCTCCTGTTACTTCAGACTTGCTTTTAGGATGTTAAGTGAAGCTTCTCGGAGCATGTTTCTATATGGACGTATTGCATATGGGACATGTCTGTCTGTCTGTCTGTCCGCGTATTTCGTCTCTAAAAGTAATCAAGAGAATTTGGAGACAACTGAAATTATGTCTGGGTCAACACTAAAAGTTCTTAAGTGAATTTAATTTTGAACTGTAGCATTGCGATCTAATAGAACCTTTCTTTTATATGAAATTCAAATCAAACTCTACACTTACTCGAAATTTCTGGGTTCCTTTACTTTTTCTCTACAAATACTGGGACCCCGAACTGGAAGGAAAGTCAATGTGGAGAGTCACAACAGTGGAACTGACATGTTTAGACTTGAACCAGTCGGCAGATGTCTGCTTCCATTACACGCGAGAGACAGCCCATTCTTGTACGTCCGACCTCTGTCCCTGCGTTCAAATTGGGCTGCATCTCGCTTTAAGATGGTCCTAAGATGCGTGGCTTCATGCCCTGGCTCCGGACACGACGCCTTCGCCTTTCATTCACCAAACATTGCAGGCCGCTGTGTGGCGATTTCAATGATCTGTGAAGGAGATAACCATTAAGTGCATCTAATCATTATCACCTTTCTGAGCGGCGATAAGACTGAAATTATTTCCCATCATGCAACCTAGTAAAAGAATGGTGATTTTGTCACACGGGAGAAACGAAAGAAGAGAGGTAAACAGAAAAACAGAAGTAACTGATTATATGACCTCAAAACACAATACTTGTTGCGAAATGTACTCTGATTCTTGTGTGATTGATTGCGGCGGCAATGGTAACAACTGGTCAGTCAGTTAGAGAGAAGAGTTAAATTGATGGTCGCATCAACGTAAATCGATTAACTTGGAGTGTTTCAGGAATCTGTAAAACTTCACTTTCGTGATGAGCCGAGCACAGCAGACGCTAAAGAACTGAATGTAACCTCACATGCACTTATAAATATCTGCAGAAGTTCGATCAGCGTTATACTGTATGAGTCTCACAGTTCCAGCTGGGGCAGTGGTTCTCAAACTGTGGGGCGCGACCCCCCGGGGGGGGGGCAGAATACTTTCCTACAGATAAAAATTAAAACTGCCCTAAATCAATTAGAAAAGTAACAAAAAATAAAAATACATATAGAAAAACTTTTGATGATTACAGGCTTTAATTATCATGAATTTCAGAATAATTAATAATTATTCTCTTTACTGGCAATTATAAAACGCATATGCCAGAGACAGCGTTGATAGTTCGGCAGCAGCCGCATCCTCTGAAATCCTCTGAAGTCTAGACTTTTTCAAATGCTGTGTGAGGAAATGGGTGCCGAACACACTGCTCTGTTGTTTTTAGTGATGCTCGATGGCTTTCAACAGGAAAGGTATTAAAGAGAATGTTTAAGCTGAGGCATGAGGTGTTCTGTTTTTTAAATGGGAAAAATCACTCACTGGCAGACAGTTTCAGCAACAAGGATTTTTTATTGAAAATGGCTTAC